CGATTTTGTAAACGGAGGGAAACTCGTTTCTAACTTAACATTCAGCCCGTTATCCATCCTATTCTCGCGTGATATTCCGCGCGCGGACCGGCGTAGGTATTTCGCGATACCCGCGATTTTGCAACGACGACACCCGCATTCACGCGCACACTTGCGAACGCATCCTGCATGCTCACGAAGCATTAACGCCGATCGCCTATAGCTGTCACGTAAAAGGAATGGCACTGCTCACAATAGTTTGATACTATCAAATACGTAGGTGTGCAATAAAGAATAAGATAGGGTTTAAAAGGGATATCGTACCTACTCGAAATAAGGAAATTGTACAAATCGTTACAGAATCGAGAGAAATCGGTAAATTTATGTATAACACTTCTTTCGTATTAATTATTTCATTAAAACAAAACAAAGCAATCAAAGATATTACGAAATTATACAGACTATCCCACACTCATCGTACGATATCTTCAATAGCGTGTGTCCTAAAGATTAATTATTTCGCAATTTGGTCGATTTTGTATAGAATTTATGCTTAGATCCCTACCTTTACACGTAATAGATCCGTCAGTTTTTATTTTATTCTATTCATTTTCGTAACTCACAATGTCGATTTCCACTGCTCAGTTTTTTACTAGCAAAGTGATTTTAACTTTTGGTTTTTTATGTGCAGATATGCTGCATATTGAACATATTACAAATAGCAAATTTTAATTATTACATGCAGATAATGCAATTCTTTTTCACGTGGAAATTGAAATGTTAATTATTGCACCCCACAAGCATCGTTAAGTCTAACGTTAAATTTAAATTTAAAGATTGCAATTTGTCCTTGTTTTATGTAATCGAAAAATGGAAATTAATTCATTATCTTTTCCAACCTTTTTTACATCCCTTTCGAGACAAGCAAAATTATGCGATTTTAATAAACCAATAAATAATCGTAGCATATCTTTTTACAACGAATTTATATTAATTTAAAACACTAGGAGCAGAATATACTCCACATTTATTTTGTGGTACGTTGAATATTTCGTGCCGGCCGGCAATGCGAGTGTGTGTGTATGTACATATGCGTATACCTGACGGTCGGCGCTTATTTATTTTCCTTTGTGGCGCGCGGCGTTTAGCGCGCCGCGGCCGTTGGCGTTGTGTAGGTGTGTAGGCAAGGTCGTCGTATAATCACTCGGCACGGCGACGCTAGAACAGTCAAGTAGCGGTGGTGGGGGCTACGTGTTCTCGCATTACTTACCGAATTGCGATCGCGAGCAAACGAAAGAGGCAGGCGTGAATTCCCACGAGCAATTAGCGATCGAGTCATCTCTCTACGACCAACGGTTCGGAGTCTTCGGGGACGGAGGTGTACCGCAGCATCCCGTTCACATTCAGGCGGACTTCTCGCGCGAGATCTTTACTCCGCCGCGAGAGTCGATGAATCGCGGGACGGGAAATGATTATCGTGACGGTAATTGCTCGTCTAACTAAACTTTGTTTTGGCTATGTCGCGTTGCCCTCTAAACTTAATTCACGTCGATGCAGACGAAACTTGTCTCTCATTATTTTTATTATGGATTAGCGGAATAAGATGAATCGCTGGAGTAAAGAAAAGCCGCGAGGCATTGACCGTCCGTCAATACTAATAAACTTAAAATTCAAGAAAATACGTTTTCGGCGTAAATTCGTTGCGCAATGCGTGAATATTTTGGCGACTTGGCTGACGCATTTGGTGTACCTTCCTTTTTTTTGCGACGTACAGCTTACCTTGTTTACCCGCGGTCGCTTTGTCTTCATTTGCACCGGCGAGACGAGCGAGCTGTTGCGCGTGTCTTCGCGTTATTAAGTATCTCTCGAAAGGCGATTATTTGGTGCGAACAAATGACTGTTATCGATCCGCGTGTTTAGCAAACTCTTGATAGTCACGGTAAGTGGCGTCGAGGCGATGGCGATTTATCGGAACAGATATATCTAGCGTGATTTTTTTAGTCACTCAAGTCTGGGGGATCTGATGAGTGATAAAAATAATACTATTGTTTTCTGCTATGATGAGCAATCCGGTTTGCAACGCACAGCACAGCGACAAACAGTTCGATTAATCCAAGTGACGGAAGATTGTGTACGATGAATACGATGATTCCACACGCTGAACGCTGAAGGCGCAAATATTAATATTTTAATGATTTTTTTACAATATATTTTATTTTAATATATGTACTTTAAAGAAATGGTTTCCCCCCTTGAATAAAATTTTGTGTTTGTCTCCTACATCTTTTTTTCAGGATTAAATATTACATAAAGAAAGTAACACATAGAGATTCATCACTGTCACACAATACACTTTCAACTCATATATCACAAGCATAAATAAACAGACAAGAAATATTTCATAGTTACATGTTTCAATAAATAAATAAATGTTTTAATAATTATTAATTATATTTATTTTTGTATTGCGCCAAATTTATACTAATTTATACTAATTTTTTTATAGCCTATTTATATTTTTTATAGCCTATATTCATTTACATTGATTGTTTTTGTGATTATATTGATTTTTGATTGATTTTGTTGATTATATTGAATTTTATCATCTTGAATTTTTCTGTTGGTTGACTAATTAATTTTTTATTGGTTGACCTTTTGATAAACTTTTTTATATCAGTTGATTGCTACCAAAATAGTACGAAATACATATTACAGATAAGAAGCAAAAGGATAATCAACTGAGCTAAAATAAATATCAATATAAACTGAATCACATAAAAATCAAAGAAAGATTGATACATCATTACGAGCCTGAAATCACGTATATATCATTAGCCAACTTTGATTATTAAAAAAGTACTATATAATTTCGACGTTTTTATATCAAGATTTGCGATTTTACTTAATCTCTAGAATTCGCTATCAAAGCATTGTATAATGTTGTAGGATGCTTTACATAATAATAATATACAATTAATACAATTTATAAGAAAATTATGTAGGAAGGAATATTACATATAATTAACAACGGCAGGATATTTTTCCTGATTTTGTAAAAAAAAAAGACGCGTGTTCGATATTCCGGTTATTTTCGCTAGCAACATATTAGTGACACGAATCATTACAGCGAAGTAAACTTGGGCGCGATGATGCGGGCAAAGTAAACGTACACTTTCACCAATTACAAACGGCGACGAAAGTCATTTTTCGTGCTTTGAATTTACGCATAAACCTCTATCGGAGTATTACTCATCGGCCACTTTCTTTCAGAGAGTTATCGCTGAGTGCTAAACCATTTACCATAGCGTTAGGAGAAATTACACTTCCGTTGGCGCGATAGCAACAGCCTTGGTGAAATCAAACTTTTTTCGACGATTTTACGCACATTATAAACGGCATATATAACATTTATTATAGTACAGTTAAAAACAGTACATTCTTCGACAGAAAATATATAACGTATACTTATTCTTACGCAACGATAAGAGCTTAACATGTTTTTGCAATTAAGTAAACACGGAAACCCTATAATTTTATTAAGTTCGAGATATCGTATTTGGCATCGATATTTATATACGCTCGATCTTTACGCCGAGGAAATAACGAACGGCGTCAGTGTCTGGCGTTACGTATAGCACGGAACGCACCGTACGTACGTTTCATTTTTCGCTGCGCGATGAGCGAACAATAGCTGAGGGAAAACAAGGATATTTTAAGACACAAAGGACACACAAAACGCTCGCGTGTAAGGCCGCGCGATTGCATCTCTCGTTCATTCACTTGGAGACGTCGCGAGGTACACTTCCGCAGCCGTTTATTAGTATCGGCGCGTAGGCACGTATGTATACTATCTCCTTGCGCGCGTGCAAATTGCGTAGGTGTACGGTGCGTTGCGTTAATGACACCGTGTTGCAAATAAACTGCCGCCCCTTCCGGTACTTTGTGGCGCCGTGCTCATTCCGTATATACTCTTAATTACTCGCGCGGCCGGCACATTTTGTTCCTCAGGCCAGAAACGCACGATATTAATACATTACGAATGCGTTTACGAGCTACTTATCACATTTCACCTTTCGTATCTCAATCCGGCTTGCAAACATCCGGTTATTTTCATAACTGCTTTGTGTCTGCCACTGTAATATAAAAAAAAAGTTTTTTAAAAATGATTTTTGATCTGTATCAATTTTATTGGTATAACTTTGGGATCCAAACTTAATTTAAAATATTCTAAAAATTTCACGTTTTACGACTTAAGCTCCAAGATTAGCTATATAGACTTTAATAAATATCACACATCACCTTATAATAATCGTGCCACGTACTTTTGCCTTAGTAGCGTCGGATGTTTTAAACATTTCTTATCAAAAGGCATAGTTTTTTAAAATAGAACTTTAATTCAAGGTTTAGTCACTACGATATTTACAGCCGTATCTCTAAAGACTGTGATAAGAGACGATAAGTTTGATTAAACCTTGAATCCAAATACTATAATGGTAAAGCCCCACTCGAATTCGAGAATCATATTTTTGCAGAATTTCTTTATTATTATTATATTACATAATAACGACTAATTGATATATTATTAATTTTACATTATATATTAGTAATATATTACTAATTATATAACGCATATTAAAATTAATCATTATCACCCATTAATATCGAGTTTCGTATAAAGTGGCTCTCCAGCCTAACGCACCATCTTAATCCGAGGCCTGATAATGATTAATGACCATTAGCCCGGCCCTGAATAATTGCGTCTACCTTAATTGCGAGTGCATCTGCACAGGTGCACACAATTAACGCGCGCCATTGTACACACGCATACGCGTACACACATATCTACCTTGCGTGTACATACCTATCTACCTACCTACCTACCTGCGAATGCCGAACTGTTGACCAACCGCTCACCGAGGCGGGTAGACGCCATCTATAGACGTCGTCTTGCGAGTCGCGACTCTCGTCCGGCGAGCACGGGCCACGGAGCAACGAGCGATCGCGTCAGTTGGTGCTCAGCTGCCGCGGTGCGTTCCACGTATAGACGTCTCTCCGGTGGGATCGATATCACGTACGAGGGAAAAGGAGCCGATTCGCGACGTGTCCCTTTAACTCCGAAAAATCGTACGGAAGCGCCAATCGTTATCCGATCTGCGGGGACGTCGCATCCTCTCGCGAAGCGTTCGATCATCCTGTCACATCCCCGACGTGCAAATCAAAACAGGTAGGCGTGCATGAATCAAGAATCACCGTTGAGAGACGATTGCATATCCCCGCGGGTGCATGAATCGTAACGCTTGATTTGAAATTACTCCGATCTAAGAAAAGTCCTGCGCGCATCTGTTTATAATTTTTCGTCGCTTCTCGAAGACCGCATTAACGTGTATAATTAGGCGTACACTTTAAAAAATATGGATGTGAATTTAACACCAGTGGTATGGATTATAACACCCATATAGGGTGTTTATATAATTCTCACCGGTGTTGGTGTCAAAACAACACTATGTCTGCTTGGTGTGAAAAATTCACATTTTTGCGGTGTGAATTTTCATCAAGTTATGGTGTTAACCACTTACCAGAAACACTGCAATACGCTCTGCATTTCATAATGTGTACGCATCATTGATATTAAAATCGCATATATTATATTGTATAACTTTACCTCTAACAATTAATGAATTCTTCTGCTGAATTACTCGTCGTATCTAAGTGAACGAACTTCCTCACGTTATGGCACTTTACCTTAACAAGCACTGCCGCCGAGCTGCGTGATTTATCCTTTTCGATAATACACTAATTATCACGAACACTATTAATATTGTAAGAAAACCTATTAGGACACGCGCGACAGTTGATTCTCCTAAAATGATAAATCGTCGAACGTGGAATTGAGAAATGCGAATTTTAATTATTTCGAAATTATTGTTAATAGACGTCGAGTTTTGTGTTGTGATTTTGCTAAATATTACACTCTCTCGTGCGATTGCGGTAACGTTTCGTGGTCAGAACGTGTTGTCCGTTCTATCGATTTTTAGATAAAATCTCGGGCATATCGATCTCAGCCACGGCGGGCAAACTTACCCGGTGCACACCGGGAATGCAGCTGCGCCGCACCGGCAATTTAAGTTACCTAACTTTGATTAGCTCTATTCCTCACGTCCCTTTCTAGATTCAGCTCGCCAGCTCTGCACGCGGTGTGTAATAGGGAACAAAGAGGCTCGAAAATTGAATCGGCAGCTTAGTACGGATTCTCGATACGCGCGAAACGATGCCTCTGACGCTGAAAATATTTACATAGCTGACAGCGACAGTGATGATAAGTGATTAAGTAATTAAGAGAGAAGGTATAGCGTCCGGATGATCATAAGGAGCGTCTCAGATCGCGAATGATTTACGAGATTAATTTAACGCGCACGTTCGTTACCGTGAAGCTCGTTAGATAATTAAAGTATAATTAAAGCGAATAAGTTAAATTACTACTATGTAACTAAAATTAAGCGGATCAGATTGCGCGATATCACGTTTTTCCCACGCGGAAACTTAAGCCGGTTCGCACGCGGAAAAGTCGAAACGCTTGGGAGAAACGTTCGTGGCGTGTTCGATTTTAAACTCGGGGCCCGATTGCGGAGATCGAACTCGAAGCAAAACATTTTGTTGGAGGAATTTACGAAAGAAAGTTCATCGGTGGAGGTCAAGATATATCTATACATACGAAAACGTTTCACATTAAAATCGTTGGCCATGGCTTATATCCGCTGGCACAGAAATACCTCGCTGTGTTTTAGAATTTACAATTTCCAAGGAAACAAATAATTTTTTTTTTTATGTACGAATCGGTGCTGTGTCAGAAAGAAACTCTGGATTTTGTCTATTTATCGTGGTACATGCAAAATAAATCGGGATGAGCCGACAGAGAGAGATTCGTCGGTCGGGAATTATACTCGGAAATATGCCGGCAGTTTTAATTAAACAGTTTCTGGGCTACGGGTTAATAGCGTCTGTTCCCTCCCGTGACGAATCTTTCATGCGCGCCTTGCGCGCTAATTAAATTAAAAATTCTGCTAAAATGCAGCTCACTCGGGATTCAGTAGAAACTTAATAAGATATGTATATTACTTCGAAATTTTCTTATTGGATCACGATCCCCGAACGCTGCTTCTCAATGTTGAAACAAATGGTGTTTTTTAAAAATACAGTTTTCGATATTTACATACGATGTCGAGACACCCAGTATAGGCTAAAAATAAGGTCGGATATCGACCCTCTTTCAATTTGCCGAGCAATTGCTCGTGGTTTGCACGCGCGTGATATATCGGCCCTGAAATTATCAATTATATCTCGCAGCTCCTCGTATCTCCTTCACATTGCGCAATAGCGGTTACATTCAATATCTTTACCGAGATAACTCGTATAATAAGGATGCCATCGATCGATAATATTCGCGTCCTGTGTGACACGGCGACGGATCTATAACCCGGTAATTGGTATGACGTCATGACACGAATAATCGTTCGAGAAGCTGTTACGTAAACCCGTTAAAATCCGCGCGCACCGCAGGGTTGATGATTAATCGTAACGTGCCGCGATGCTTTATTGTCCCTTTCCTGCTCAAGATGATGTCCAGACGAACTTCGCGAGAGCGTAATTTTAACTCTCTCTGCACGCATCTCTCTGATGTTACAGATATACGTTTTTTTTCTTCGAAATGTTCAAAAGGAAAATAAAACGTTGAAGGAAAACAATTATAGATGCTCAAAATAAATGAGTTTATTTTAATTCATTACGTAAAATTATATATTGCAAAGAGTATTAATAACCGCCGAGTATTAATAACTTCTAATTGAATGAAATAACTATTAGAGGAAAAATGGATTATAATTAAATGTTTTTCCTCGAAGTTCCTATTTCTGCGGTAAAGAGAATTCTTCGGTTATTAACATAAAAACACGTCAAGATATTTAAATAAATTTATTTTCAAAATTATAAAATACGCATCTCTTGCCTTATTTTCTTATTAAACGACGAAAAATGGACTTATTGAAAGAAAGTGATAGTTAAAACGGTAAATCCGTTGTAATCCTATATTTTCTTTTTTTTCTCGCTGCTTTGATGAATTATGGTTAATTGCTAAGAATTATTAAGTCCACGAGAAAGGATTAAAGACCGGTTTTTTGGTTGAGTACCGTAACCTTGCCATCTAATTTCATCTGTCATCCAGACGCAGCGATATTGTCAGATGGAGCACGAAAGATAGGGCATTTCTGTCTCTTCGACTTTGCACAATTGTGCCTGTAGTGCTTGCGCTCTTGCACACAAATCCTAAATAAACAGCTCGCTTGGTTCTCTCACGGAAAAATTCCAGTAAGCGTAAATAAATGATTGCAGCAACGGATCATCTGTATGGTGATTAAGTAACAGTGGAATCTGTCTGTTGCATATTAAAGATGCCGAACGAGTTGACGAATAGTTTGCCTATTCGAAAACGTGCGACACATCGTAAAGTATACTGTTTAATTAGCACTTCTTCGTAGCGTCGTTAATGCCGTTCTCATATCTTTCCACGTGGCCCTAATATGTTCGTCATATGTTTGCAATTTCAAAATGTGGTCGTCGCCTTAAATATCGCTGATGACTTTATCAATGACTACGATCGGTTCTCGTTGTGCCACACTGCGTAAAGTCGGGGCGTTTCGTCACGGTGATGCAACGATATACATAGCATAGTGGAAAAAAGTGTCATAATCCTCTCACATCTGCCCAGACGCGACTTTTTCTTTCCGCGTGTGGGAGTTGCGAACTTCGCGGAATCTCCTAAATCCCTCTACGTGAGGAAAATATGTAATAATGACGCGATGGAGCCGGCGCAATAAACGTTAACGAGAAAATTAGGGACTGCGAGGGGGACCGGCGCGATTAGCAACTGCCACTTTGGACAAGTCGCGAGTGTCGGAAACTTGTCGAAATTACCACCGGGAGAGCGAGATAATCGGCAAAACCACAAGGAAGTGCGCCGAGAGTTCTAACTGGCGAGTTCTGTGTGGCAACTTAATAACGCGCGGTGTGTCTCGATCGGCTGTAATACGCCACAGGCACGTACGAGCGGTTATATGAATTTATCTAATTAGGTGCCAATCGCCGCCGTACTTAATTCCCATTGTCAGTCTGCCGTAGTCGTTCGGATCGGATTGTTAGGTGCCGTTATGGCCCGTGGACATAAGCGACACAATTTTTATACCTGCAGCGTTACATCCACATTACACTACCTGTGTAGCGGTGAAAATAGGCAAGGCAATTTAAAGCCGAATGTCAAGGTTGATTTACATAGGCCAACTTCCTCGTGTTACTACATTTTTTATCGCACGTAGGCAAACTTAGCTTCTCTACACGTGAGATCAATGGCTATGAATTTTAACGATAGCTTTCTCATGTAAAATCAGTTTCTCGTATATATACTTAAGGACAAAATTTCGTTAGAGTTAAAAGTTATTACGGCGTTTTACTTCATGTCAAATACCTTGAATTTAAACGAATGAATTCCACGACATTTAATTACGCTATTAGCATCAGTCTAATAGGTTTCCCGTTTTAACCATCGGTAATTGCGCAACTATAAATAGCAAAATAGCAATAACACCGGCAATAAGCGGTAAACTTTAAATTGTGTTTCGAGAAATTATTATTCAAAGGGAAGCGATGTATTCAAAACTACGTGTATACCGATAGCGCGGAGGTTTCGAAATTTCTCAGAGAGCGATAACTTTAATGCCCCTACGCGCAATCGCGCGCCTAAATTCGTTCTCATAAAAAATAGAACTTCTCGATTACGTCGGCGAATCGTGGACGAACGGCTCGCAACGCTCCGTTAGCGGAACGCATATACGGAAGTACGCTCGCGGAATAATCTGCCGCCGCATTCCGGAAGTTCCATCCAGATGATTTGCGGATTACGTCAGAGCTGCGCGCGAACCCAGTAATTAATCGCGAAAGCGAACAATCGGCGCGTGGCATTATGCGTACGACGCCGCGCCGCGCGAAATTTGCATGGAATTCGTTGCGTCTCGGAAAAAAAAGAAAGGAAAGAAGAGAGAATCTGCGCGCGACTGCGTTTCCGCAGGGACGCAGGACGTAGGGGTGAAAACCGCGCGCGAGCGAGATACTCGCGGAATTTCAGGATACGCCGTGGCACGCGGCGTGCACTTCCGCATACAAACGAGATGCGCGTAT